GACTATCCTGATCAGGCATTGACTCCACTGGGGCCAGGAGGTGAGCCGTGGTGTATCTCCTGCGTCTACGATTTTTTGCAGCATTGCGTTAGCATCCTCGTTACTTTCCTCATCGATTTTAGCTGCTGCTTCGCGCTAGGTTTGCGTTCCGAAGTATTTGGATCGCCTGGTAGTTCGGTATGTTAACCCTCGAAGGGGGAGGTTCAAACCGTACGCTCCTGATCTGTAGTTAGAGGCTCGGTACAATAGACGTAGCCCTGCTTCGCCACAGAATTCCTCTCCCTTCCATGGGTATGAGGGAGGAGGGGAAGTATTCCCCTCGAGTTTCGGAACGATCGTCCGTAACGTGCCTCTGCCTCTAACAGTTCCAACATCCTCTCTGGGTCCATAGGACGTTGTACAGCCAGAGAAAATCTGATCGATTCGCGGGGGTCAGCCAGCTGGGCCTTCTCTGGGAGGTCTATCTCCAGTTGAGTTCCCACTGTTAGGAACTGTACTCGTAGGTCTGAGAATTCGAGACCGTCTCCCAATATTTCGATCCCCATTGACTCCAATACCTCCCTTAGGACCATAGCTACATCCTCCGGGATACACTCCTGAATTCGAATGACGTCTTCCAGACGCAATGTCATTTCGTACTGGGAAGTTGGTCCTGCTATGGTGTATTGCGTGTGTACGCTCCCAGTTGGGCGTATTCATAGCTGGGCTCTTCAGGAGACTGGAGAGTGAACTTCCTCGTCTCGGGGGGGAAGGTTAAGGGACTGTACTGGAGGTGTTGGTAACCTCCGGGATGACGTCCGAGATTGTTCGGATACGGCAGGGGATACCCTCCTCTCTGGAAGTTTTCCTGTTGTCGTACTGTGAGAGGGTCAGTACTCTCCCCTTGTATCCTTTCGATAGCGGCTACTTGACCGCTGACTCTTCCACCCGCGTTCGAAGCTGACTCCATGTCTAGCTGCGGTATCGGTCCAGGGGGAGGTCCTCTCGTTCCCCAGGTAGGGGAGTATGCGAAACCTCCCATGGGACTACTGGCAGGTTGGGCGTAACCCATGGAGGTAACCTCCGTTGTGGTGGTCCCATCCCAGGTTCCACTGGAGGGGGCCCCTGAACCTCCGGTTGACGTCCCTCTGGGGTCCGGATGTTGCTGGCGGTTTCATCCCCGAACGACTGTTCTGGGATGGACATCAGGCGTTGACCAGCTGCCACCGTGATGACAGTGGAGCTAGCAGCCTGGTTCGATTTTGAGCTTGTGTCGTGTTTCCACGAGATAAGGCGCTCTTTTGTTTCTTTGATTCGGTTTGGAACTAGAAGGTCGTTCCGTTGACGTCGCCGACATTTCGTCGACGAGTCCGTTCGTGACGGGAGAGCTTGGTATAATGTAAGACCTGGGTCAAAATAGGTCTTAGGGTAGGTTTTGGTATGTGGAGGTTTATGTTGTAGCGTGCTAGGAGCAGGCTGGAGCTCGAAGGGAGCTACGAGAACCGCGACCGAGGACGGGAATGACCTAGTAGTGGTTGGAACGACGAGATGGTGACCCTTGAGGGGTTCCTAGGAGGTCCAGGGAGGTCCCTAATGCGTAGGGAGGTTCGGAAGAGTGCGGGACCGTAAGATATTGCGTAGTAGGAGTTGTACTCGCTAGAACGTCAATATAGGATCGAGTAGGTAGTTTGTAAATGGGTCTCGAGGGTGTAAGCTCCCGAGAAGGGATGTGCCAGGAGGGTAGGTCCCTGGGGCTAGGTTGAGGATGGTCGTCCTCGAGTGTGGGAGGTGGTAACGGAGAAGCAATACGTAGTTCGACGTGAGGGGTAGCTTCGACGTTACCTAGATCGAGGTCCCGAGCTTACGAAGTAGCTAGGGAGCTCGGGAGGTTTGGGGAGGTTGCTCACCAGGGGTAGGCGTTGGGGAGCTTTAGTAATGTTCGAGGGAGCTCGGGACTCACTCGGAAGGCTTAGACTGAAGTAAAAGCGTATATTGATCGTATAGACGATCAGAGAGACGATAGACAAGAATGAGAGAAACAGAGGCAGAGAAATAGGAGTAAAGAGAATTCCGTATAGGTAGCAGGTACAAAGGGACAGGGACTGGACCTATGTAAAGGGTGTGTGTCAAAATATACCAAGCTAGGGACGCTTATGTTACAGATGATACTTATATAGGTGGGCTGAATAGTAACGGGACATTGTAATAAACGAGCATCTAATGGGGTTGGCGTGAAGTGCGGAACCCATGAGGCTAAATTGATAGGGGATTGTCCGGCGGCGTATGCGAGTCGTGGAGCTGTCGCTTCAGATGGAGGTTAGCGTTGGTGGGGAGGTTAGCTAGGGTTCTGTGGTTCATGGAGGTTTATGGGAGGTTATTTGGGAGGTGTAAGGGAGCTGATACGCTGTTCTGGGATGTCTAGGAGGTTGACAAGGGGAGCTTTTGGGACAGGGCATGACAGATATTCTCCATATCATAGAGGTGTACACATGAATTGGGATTAGTCGTTACTGAGTGCTAAGTCGTTAGCAATACAAACACGTCAAGTTATACGTAAGTAGTACAGCACGCACGAAGGAGGCATACGCAGGCATACGCCCGTTTGGATTCGAGAAACAGCGGATGGGAAAACAAAATCCAAAGATTAAGAGGAATATGTTTTCTGAGAATGAACAGAAGATCCTTTTCTGCAGCAACGGCAGCGTGAAGTCTGGTTGTTGGATCTGAATAAGTCGAATCTATATAAACCACGATTCGCACAAAGTTTTCAGGATACGGCGCGGTCTGAGAAAATTGAGTTGTGAATGGTTTCGAGAGTCAATGTGGTGACGTAGTAAGAAAGCTAAGTTGGTATAGCACCAATCGTAGGAGACATTAGTACAAAGAATTAGCGACATACGTCTGTTGTACAATCTCTAGCTATGAAGATAAGCACACCGAAATCAAAGTCCAATCTTCATAGTACTTACGAAGAACGGGTTGTTATGATCGAACAACGCAGGAGCAGGAAGTGTTGCCGTAGCCGTATGAGCTTTCACGGCGACTTGGTATCTCCATCGCTCAATCGTTTCCCTAACGGTTACAGTCGTTGTGTTATCTTTCGAATGAAAGGAAGTTTTTTTTTTTTTGAAGGTATTTGTGTTGTGTCCGGGGGCATGAGACGTGATTTTTGAGAAATTGGGGAGGAAGGAACTAATGTAAGGTGAGATTTGCGCGCCGTGACATCAATACCCAGTTGACTGAAGAAATGAAATAAAATATTATGATTAGACATACAAAGGCGTTTCCGAAGTCCGTTGTCTGTTTTGTAATTGGGTTGAACAGTCCCGTTGCTCCCAGTCCTGCATTTCGACCGACGATTTCTTATTACATCGTAAATTCGGCTCCACGAACGACTTCGGGTTAGCTATTCAGCTTCAATAGCATAAATTCTCTCCATCGCATCGACAAGCATGTTCGTCTCCTTGGCGAATTCTTGCAATGTACAGATACAGCTGAGATATGAAACGGAGCTGAGTGAAAGATGTAAGAGGTAAGATTCCAAAGAGGAAGCGACAAGTACATCGAAAAGACGTGTTCAGTGCTCTGTCCACTACTGAGAAAGACATTTTTACGTTTCGACATTGACGTTACAGTGTTTGAAGGTCCTCTCGCAGAAACGGGGGTTATAGGCATTGATTCTTCGGATGAGTATTGAGAGATTGAGGTCCGACCTAGAACGATCTTGTAATAGAGTCTCATCATAGCGAGATTAGAGGTGGTTTTGAAAGCAAAGTAGGCCAGTTTGAGTCGATTGAATCATTCATCGAGTTCTAAAAAGTGGAACTGGTTGTGGTGTGCGACGATGGATTTGTTGTGGAAAGAGATGAAGGATTCATGAAGGCGTTCGTCACTCGTGGTACAGGTGCTGTATATGAGAATAGAATTAGAAAATGAAGCCTTGATATAAGGAGCAAGTCACACACAAAAAGAGCTTTCATGGGGGCCCGAGATCATTCACCACGTCTCCGGACATGACAGCGTCTTTGTTCAGCATTGCCGTTTGTTCGTCATCATCCTGCAGTATAGAAACTGTCAATGAGTGATCGACGAAAGGTCCTTGTTTACTTGACGGCACTCGGTGACTTTCTTGCTCATTGATTTTCGTTCCACTGCACCTGGTTGCGTTAGTTGAAACTGCAGCTTTGCCCCTTTTGAGTCCATTGAGTTGTTGTGGTAGTCGATTGAAACTATTCATTGCGTCCTGATAAGCTTTTCTCCTTTCATCACTGTAGGAGTCAAGTATAGGTTCACTTGCTCAGGTAAGTTTGGTGAAACCGCCGGTGGAAGGCGTGTGATAAGTGTGGAAAGTTCTTCTTCGTTGACGTGCGTATTGTGAATATATTAGTGTATGTTAGGGAACAAATAATTGTACTCGCTTCACGATCATCATAATGGTCATCATTTTGCAAGATACGAGTGGATGAATACGCCGAAGTGTTGCAAAATCAATTGGAAACAATCACCGTTGTTGAATGCATATCGACTGAATCACAATCGGAGTCTGATTCTGTAGGACTTTATCTGGCAAAGAATTCATCTTGATCAATGAGCGACTGGATGTCGATGGAAACATGTGATTCTACCATGCTGTTTCTAGGTGTGATGTTTCCGATGGGTATTCTGGTAATGTGAGCCCTGCTTGTTCTCCTGAACGAAGTCGGAGTGGGGGTAATCTGACCTCCATTTTCCAACAATTGTCCGAACAGTGACCGCTCGCGAAGTGTATAGTTTCTTGCATTAAGCCGCAGGAGAGCGCTGTTTGGTTTGCGATTCTGAAGAAGATCAGTGGTGGTTAGCGCTGCGGCTAAGTGAAGGTGTACTGAGAGGTTCCTCGAAGCTATGCGCCGTCCATGAATGACGTCGACAGTTCAGGTGTCGTTGATCGTGTACAGTATGATCTGATAAGGACCGAGGTAGGTTCTGGTTGAAGACTACTATCATCAACACTGCGTCCAGCATCTATATCGCGAACAGGACCGTTACAATAAGAAGATGATGGAATATAGGGTATCCAGGACGAAATAGAGTTGATGTTTTGGTGGTTCATTGTTATAACGGGCAGGGAGCACAAACATCGTACCAAAAACATCGTCCTCCTGTGTGGGGAAGATGACGTTGTATGAATCTGAGGAAGACAATTGTTCGAAGGGGGTGCGATTGGAATTAGGGAACGCAACGAATAGTTCCGACAAATCGGAGGTATTTGTCTCGGTCAGGGCGAGCGCGAGGTGGACTGAAGCACCAGAAGCAGCGGTAGTGGGGATTCTGATTGGCGGGAAATACTGAGTGACTGCGATAGGTGGATTAGAAGAAGGATATGTGGCGATGAAGTTTGATGCGATAGTGAAATTGTTGTTGGGGGTCAAAGGACCGATAAAGGCACTCCTCCAGGGATTTGAATTCTGGACGGTAGATTTGAACCACGTTGTCTGATGAGCTTCAGTTTAGAAGATTGAGAAGTTAGCGGGAAGAAGCTCCTGTAGTTCAAGAAATAAACAAAAGAAAAGTTATTATGCTATCGAGAAAATAGTGACCTAAAGAACAAACCTTGTCTAGGGGAAGTCCAGAAGTTTGAGAATCAGCAAAGGTGTTAGCAGTGTCAAAGGCTGCATTCGTCGCGATGAACGAAGCGACATCATCTGAGCCGCTGCTACAGATACGAACAGAAATGGTGTTAACAAGCACGTTCAGGAGCGGGGGGTTATCTATATTTAGAAGCCGGGGGGTACATTCCTGGATAGTATTCGCATCCATCTCCTCCAAAACTCTTTGTAGCAAAGTGATGTGAGTCTGTTCATCGGCAAAACATCGTCGTAGTTTGCCTTGACAGTTGCGGCAAACTTAGTCGCTTCAAAAGCATCGGCGGAGAACTTGGCTAAGGCTTGAGTGTAGAGAGCGCCCTGGACGTGTTCGAGGATACGAGCGTAGTTCAACACCTCTGCATCGGAGATCAAAGAGTAATGAGAGGAATTCCATGTAGATGATGAAGAAGAAGAGTGGGACGACGCTGAATCACGCGATTTCCGATCAATATCGATTGTCTGCTTCGAAGGATCGTATAGGTTTTTTTGAAAGAGAAAATCCCCAACCTAGAAAGAAATAGATCCTATTTCATCATCGGCGTGTCAAAGTGGAAAGTTGAAAAATCAAAAGAATTCAAGGAAATATAACGAAGATGAGGATGGCTTGGAAGTTTCACCGCGGCTTGTATAGTTGGATTTTGACACAAAATGTCTCAAACGCGATAAGCCACCAGCTCCTGTATGTCATGTCCTTTGATTTATTCAGAATGAGTTCACATCAATGTTTAATAGGACATGGTCGAATCGTTAATATTCAAGAAAAAAATGAAATTGTAAGGAGAATAATCATGGATATACATCTGTTTGTGACAACCAATGGTAAGATTGTATGAAAAGAAATCGTTGGTGTTTTTAATGTAGAGAAATGACAATGTCGTCAGAAAGGAAAGAATGTATCAATGATCGCAATACATCCAAGTTTACGTGCGTTTTCGGAGGCCCAAGTTTTATCATCAGCATAAGTTTTCTAGATTCTTCACTGACGTTTAGATAAGGATTATCCTGATTAACGGTGAATGTTAATGATTTCATCAATAAAATTGTATCCAACTAACCATGTTCATCGTTGCGAATTGTCGTTGAAGTGTTAATATTAGTTTCGCCAAGTCTTGCGCGTTTGAAGGAGATATAGGAAATGCAGAAGTATTTGCCAAGTCAAACAGCTTTTTGAATTCAGACCAAAAAGGTGTTTTTGTAATAGACGGCTTGTTTGTATTTCGGACGATGTTCTGAATTGCTGCCATTGCAGCGTCTCCGCTGAGAGTACTGTTAGTAGATCAACGGTTATGTTATATGTTATTCATACCGGAGTGTTCTCGTTCTGATAAGTTCATTTATAGTGACAGCCTCAGCTCTAACCTGTGCAACATTATGTGGTCCAACGACATAGTTTTCCTTCGCTTCGGAGATATCCAACGAATAAACGTCGATTGTGTTATATTGTCGAGTATACGCCATATCCCAGCTGTTCAATTCGAAAAGATCGTTGGTAGGCATACCATCACTCAGATGTTCGAAAATAATACGGTAGCAGTGTCTGTCACCGACGTATCTGGACAACAGAAATGAAAGTGATGAAGATGGATTGCAAGCCTGTTCGAACGTCGGGGTATGCATTATGTTGAATCCACGATCCTGATATTTTCGTATTGGATACATTTGAAGTTCGTTCAGAGGTGCTCGAAGATTGATAAGCATTGTAGTTTTCTCCTCCAAGGTGAGCTTCGAGAATAAGCAGTAGGCAGCTCGATGTGTAAGTACGTTCATTACACATGCTGAGCGAAGTTTGGAATCAGTTTCTTCTGTAGATCATCAAGTAAGACTTGAACAAACTTGAATGAAAACAAAATATGGTTTCCAGAGGTGGACCTGCAGTGGCGATGAGCTGTATCTTAGATGATCCTCGAACGAAATCCCAGACAGTCTTCACAGAATTGAAAGTGTAATCTGACGGGTCTACATCGTTTGGTACAGCTATCACTTCATTGTCTTTGCCTGTTTCCAGGATTTGAGTGAATGCGTCGGTGAAATCGTTTTTTTGGTTTTCTTTTGGTTTGAATAGATAGCCCTGTGATATAAACCATTCACCCGCAGTTTTACAGCGGTTGATTTGGCAATATGTGTCTAGATCGCCACTGTATTGTTCTCGGTTGAAGAATTCGAGAGCCGTCGATCCAGAAACGATAAGAGCCGTGGAACTCTGTATAATGAACCGGTGAAGAAGTAGTGTATTAGATAGCGCATCATCCACGTGCCTGTAGCCGTTGGAACTCGACGATTTCTTTCATGTTGAAGAAATTCCGATAAGCATGTTTAATGGTGAATACACGTCGCTTGTAGTTTGTAATATCAGTGTTTGCGATCTTGGACGTTCTACTGAGAGAAGCAAGATCGTTTAGAGTTAGCCCATCCAATATCATCTCTGAGGTCTCTAAGGGACTAGAAGAAAATTAGTGCGAATAAGAAATCGAGACATGATATGTATACATTTTCTGATTGAAAATTGAAGGAGACATAAGATGATGTTGAAAATTTGACGGGTGATCTGAAATAACTCGATAGATATGCAAAACAGATTCCATGTTTATTTATGCATTTGTAGTGAAAAGTTTGCACACGAACCTATTGTTTTTCCTTTATGGTGAATGTTTCCACATGTCAATTTCACGAATTATACGTTGTGAAATATTTCCTTCGAATGTTACTTGTAATCAACGTTGAATATGGTAGACTATCAATCCGATTTATGTAGACAATTCAAAGAAAGCGTTGTTGTTGTACGGAGAAGTCGAAACTTTGATCTATAGTCAACATGTACAGATAGATATGGTTGTATTCATGCAAGTAATCGTATCTATTTATACTACATATGTGGATGATACAAATCGATATTGATGCAAATGTAGGGAAAATAAATGTCAAACATGTTGGTGTAGATCAATGAAGGAGTAACAACATTAACTGGTATATAGATTATATTCATATCACAATCTAGTACAAGCATCGTCAATGAATCAATCTGTTAGTCATTATATGTATAAATTTTCGTGCTTTAAAAGTGATATAATTCATATAATTTTAATGAACTAGAACAGTTTCTGTTCTATTCAGCCCAACAATGGAATCTCTTCAAACAGTTGCTTCAACTCTTTCTTGCTCTGCTCCTCCCTGGTTGTCACCAGAACATATTAATAGTTGCAGAATTCATTTTAGAAAACTTCCTATCCGTATGTTGTCATCATTTGTAGGAAGTCGACGTCAAAAACATACTGTTGTAGATGATCTTGTACAAAGATTGTTACGTTTCTCTACGGATAATGCTGTTAACGAACCAGAAAACTCAAATGTATACTCAGAAATACATAAGCGATGTAGTTTGCAATTTGGTGAAGTTGTGACAAAGATTTTGTACACACATTTTCGTGCTCATCATGAGATTGATCGGTGTGATGATCCATTGCTTGCAAAGAGCAATTTGGGTGTAATTATTACTGTGTTTCAAAATTTGACAAAGGAAGAGATGTTGAATATGAAACAAGCTTTGAAGATATTTGAACGCAAAGATAAATCCATGTTAGTTTTCTATAGTTTGAATGATGAAGGTCGTTCAGAGATTAGATCAAATGATGTATTCAAATTAATGGGAAAGTGTTTTCAACGAGACTACAAGAAGTATTATTTCAAAGACAATATAGGAATATGTGATGATTATTTGTATCACTACGGCATCCCATTGACAGACATTGGTTTACAGGATGTTGTGTTCCAAGTGCTGGTGGCTCTGGGTTATGCGCAAGATATTTTGGAACAAATACTTTATTCAGTCCAAAGTAAAGATCTTTCATATTCAAATCGAAATTTTTATAAGAAGAACAAGCGAAAACAAACACGTATTGAACGTGCATCTAAAGAGTATTCTTTACTGCACCAATGTTCTGAATCGTGGCCGGAAAAAATTTCTATTGAAACAAAAATGAATTGTGTGAGAAATTACAGACAATTCGTTCAATATTTGCCCCCATCGATTTGTGCATGTTGCGGATCCGAAGATGGTTTACGTACTGGATCTTATAAGACTCAGGCAGAGTGGCCTGATTTGTCTGTTCTACGGATAAAAGATCCATATATCATTGCAAACACCCCCCACTCACGGTTCATTTACATCTGTAGAGATCTAGATGGATTATTATTGAATAAAGAAGGAATCCGTTCTGTTGATGTATCTTGCACAGTGTTTGAGATATATTTCTGCCATGATTGTTATGGTTCATTAAGGCGTTTAAAAATGCCACGGTTGGCATTGAACAATTGCTTGTATCGAGGAGAACCATTGAAACAGTTAGAAAATGTGACATGGGTGGAGGAAATGGCTTGCAGCATTTATAGAACAACGGCACATGTTACACGTATATTTGGTTCTTCTAGTGTTACTGATCCACTTCAGTTGCATGGTAATGTTTGTGCTCATCCACTTAATGTGTGTGCAACTGCAAAGAAACTACCTTGGAGTCCTACAGATTTGAATGATTTGATTACTATTATCTTTGTAGGAAAGAGGAAACTCACAGAAACAGATTTGCTCAAATTTAAACCTTTCTTTGTGAGGAGATCTGTTATAAGAATGCTTCTTTCTGATCTATGTAAGCGTAACAGACTGTATAAGGATCTGTACTCTATGGATAACAGTGTCTTGAATCAGTACCCAGAAAATGATATACTACCAGGCCTTGCAGAGCGGATCATCTACGATCATGAAAGTTCATCTACCAATTTGTTTGGTACTGAATCAAATGGTTTTGATGATCATCCTGCTGAATTACTTAGTAATTCTGTAGAAGAAAGTATTCTATTAGAACGATCTGGATTATATGATCCTGAATCACAAGATGTACCAGCCAGATTCATGACAGCTTCATCAATTAATAACATTGCACAGTCTTTGTCATCAACAGATGTTAATAAAAAAGATGTTTTTTTAATGTATGAAAGAGATCCAATTAATGAATATAATAATCCTGACCTGTTTCCTGGAATGTTTCCAACATTATTTCCATTGGGGATTGGAGGATTTGAGGATGATCATCAGTGTCCGGCTGTTTCGCTGGAAGCTCATGTTGAACATTTACTTGATCAATCCTCACGTGAATTTCGATATCATCATCTTTTTTCTTTTGTTGCTTTAAATTTAATTCAGAGAAGAAAAGCACATCTTCATACATCATTATCAATTTCATCAAAAAAATTTGCAATGGTTGCCCCTGCTTTTACAACAGTTACTGCGGATGTTTTATTGGATTTAGCACAGAAGCTTAAAGATGAAAAAGACAAATCTGACTTTTCAGAGGATGAGCAACATGCTTTTCAGTTGTTGAACCAGGTGAATATAATTTCGGCTAAAATTCCAGGATCTCAAGCATCAAGAACCACAACACGTAATCATATCAGATGTTATTATGCTTATTTTGGTATGCCACAGTTGTTCCTCACATTAAATCCATCAGCAGTGCATAGTCCAATATTTCAAGTAATGTATGGTGAATCTGATATTAATTTAGCTGAACGGTTCCCCCACGTTGTTCATCCTCGCAGTGAGCGTGCATGTCGGGTTGCTCGAGATCCTGTTGCTGCAGCGGATTTTTTTGATTTTATGTATCATACTATATTTGAACAATTACTTGGTTGGGATTTCAAAGTTGGCAAGAGTACTGATCATGGAGGGATATTTGGACATCTCCGTGCTTTTTTTGGCTGTGCTGAACTTACAGAAAGGGGATGTTTTCATGGACATTATCTTTTGTTTCTACGAGGTGGCTTAAATCCTTCTGAAATTCATGAGAGATTAGGTCGATTAGATGGATATTCCGAGAAATTTTTCTCATTTTTTGATGACATTATTCACCATCATCTTCCATGTATTGATTTTGTTTTACCTGAAGGTTATGAACCTCGAGTTGAAATGCCACCGGAATTTCATGTGATTGACAAGAATAACACTGTTTCTACAGAGTTAATATGTGATTGGGAAAAACTGTTTGAAGATGAACACAAAAGGATAGGTGAAAGATTTCAGAGACATCGTTGTCGCCCAGTATGTCATAAAGGTCAGACAAATACAGATGTTTGCCGTTTTGGTTATCCCCATGAAATTGTTGAGAATTCTAATTACGACATCAAGCAAAATTCAATCATTTTTGCACGTAAAGAAACTGATGTCAATGGACACAACCCACAATTGTTGGTATGTACTAGACACAATCATGATATTAAATGTATATTATCTGGTAAGGCTGCCAAAGCTGCAATGTTTTATATTTCTGATTACATAACAAAAATGCCACTAAATACAGAAGCACT